TCATGTTTTCGTTAGCGTTTCCGGGTGTTTGAGGCGTAACTTCATGCTGGAATAGTGCTGATCAATTCGCTGCTGGCCACTCTCAGCCAAACGAGGAGATGGTTGCTAATGTTCCGCTCACCAAGTATACTTTACAGCTACGGCTGGTAGGCCTCTCCTTCTTGCTGTTTTGCTTACTTCCTATTCGTTTTGCACCCTTTTCTCAAGTCAACAGTCGTATTCCTTTGGTCAGCAGGCCAATGATGGCTGGATGAAGTTGGAGGATGAGAAGATAGTAGGATGATGCGCCCCAGCCAGGTGTCGCTGGCGCCACGCACTGTTCAGAAAACCGATGTCGATGGGTGACCACTTAGACCGCATCCTGAGAAGTTAAAAAAATATGCACATACATGTAGCAGTCCTTGACAACCACAGGAAATGGCGTTTTACCGAGCCGCAGAGCTTCTCTTGCTTGAGCACGAGCCAATTCGAATGTTTCGGTAATGAGAGAATTGAATTTGCGATATCTGACGGCCCTTGAAATGGCTTCCTCAATGATTTCCATATGTTCAGGCCTGAAAAATGCTACAACTAGCACTCGCAAGCTTGACACGTATCTTTGCCGTTTACGGAACGCAACGAAACAGCGCCGAGTGGGCCCCGCACATGGCCTGTCCGTACTGGGCGCTACCGCCGCTGCGAAGCACGCACTGAGCAGCAACAGAGCCCGAAGTGACAACGCGTCTTGTGGACAAGTGCGCGCAAATCTGATTGCCCTGCCCCTGCGCCAATGTGCTAGCGTCGAAGTGGCACTACCACTGCACCTGCACCCACCGGCACATTCGCCCTCACTGTGGAAACAGAAGAATGGAAGGATTGGTCTCAAGTGTCGGAGGGCATTTTACGATGCGTCGTCGTCTGTTTTTCATCCCTTAGCTGTAAACACAGAGCAACCAGTGCACCGGCTGGAATGCCACACCATAGGCAAACACTAAAAACTCGGCTTGGCCAGGTTGAGATGCGAAGGGCAAAGAGTAAGGGGAATGGGACGAGGCGGACCGGGAGGATGGTGGTCGAGGACGGTAATGGCGGGACCGTGACGGAGGAAAGATGACAGGGTGGCTGACTGCACTGGGTGCCAGCCACTGCAGTCCGCGGCTCCTGCTTGGAAGCAGGGACGGGATTTATGGCGTCGAGAGCCTGTATGGGTTTTTATGATGTTTAACATGAAACTTGAGAGGAAGTTAGCAGTTCTGAATGCTGCACCTCGAACCTAGTCGCCTATACGAAAAACTCGATACTGCAATTTTAGTACCTCGGATCGGAATCTCAAAAGATGCCAGGACAACTGCACAGTGCGCAGTTGAGCCGAGCCAAAAATTTCCTGAATAAATTCGGCCTACAACAGGAACTCGGCTCGGCTCGGCAGCACAACGTACGCTCATTTTTGGGCTTGGGTCTGAGTTGCGTGGAACGCGGCGCCTGGCTTTTTGTTTGGGCGAGATTCTCGTTCAGCTCCAAGTTTCGTGCACCCCTGCTCCCCGCATCATACATCCTGCTGCTCTTTCCAGTTCCTGTTCCAACCGGCATGTCAGCTCCCTTCCTTGTGTTGCAACTGCCAAGACCTAAACCAGCACACACCATCCAGTTATCGGAACTCGCCCCTCGACTTCTAATTGTTGCTCCAGCTGCACCCGCTGCCATTTACAGCAGCTGGTGGGGATGCTGCTTTTTGTGGTGGCGGCTGGGCGTGAGACGAGCACGCCAGCAGTGGCCCGCCTTGGCGACTCGCCACTGGGCGATGATCTCTGCAGGAAGTAACATCCCACCGCATCGGGGAACTAACTGCTTCCGGTTCGGCCGGATTGGGAGGAGATTGTAGTGAGTGAGGAGGGGGGAGGGGGGAGATGGGGGACTGGAGGCCGAAGAAGGCATAGAGCTGGGGATTGTGGCTTGGGCCTCGAGGGCTGTAATGGAAGAGCGGAGAGGACGAGGTATTGACTGGAAAGGAGCTGAGAGCTTACTTGGAGGTGTGAACTGGGAGCAGGGGCGGGGGAGGAGGCTTCTGTGCGTTGAGAATAAAAACTGATGCTCGGGGCAAGTGGCATTCAGCAGCTCGCCTGAACAGAGAGCCCCGTTGCTGAGCTCGGAGCCGAACCCAAAAATGGGTGCAGCGGGCAAGCTTGTTGGCTCGCACTGGTTGTGGCAGCGGTCCGACGGTTGTTGTGTACTCACTGTCTGCTGCGACTCGAGAATGCGGCAGATGCATGCGGTCAGTCGGGAGCGTGGACTGGCTGGGATGCATCTCTTTTGCCGCATCGTCGTCCTTCTCCGGACTGCTAGCGCGGCGGTTCTCCATGTGTGGGCATTCTAAGAGTTTCTTGATGTGTGTTGAGCAGCAGCAGCAGCAACTCGCCCCGAACGCTGTCAGCTCAGGGCGGAGGCAACAAGGAGATTCGTTTAACTCTCTGTCACGTTCCTCTTTGTACTGATCATCTGTTCTTTCGAGCTGTTTGTTGGCTGGGCCTCTGGAGTTGTTTCCGGATGAGGGTGACTCATAAACTCAGAGCAGGACGCATTGTGATATTATAGCGCATTCACTGTTTCTGTGTTACAGGCCTGGCGAATTCCAGACGATTTTTAATTCAGTACGTTGATTAGCGGCTTCTCGAGCAAACCGTAAGTTTTCCTTGCGTCCTCTCAACTGAACCAATTCTTACTTTTTTTTGCAAATTCCTCATCAGCTGTTTGTCAGTACTTTGAGAATCCTGGAAAAGCGAAAATCACTGTGTCACGCTGTGTTAATGCCAATTTTCGCAGTTGATGACTGAATAATAATCTGTTGGAGCAATGCGTCATCGCATCGTCTATGCGCTGCTATTGCTGTTCGTGCAAGCCGATGAGCATGATCACTTATACCAGCTGGGCGATGAGGTATGCGTTTTGCTTCACATTATATGCATTTTTTTGAGCAGATAGCTATTGTCAAATCGTTCCCGGTCTTCAGCTAAGCTGATTGTAGCATGCAACTAATTTTAACAACTTAAATAAGGTAGGCATGGAGCGAACTATGTATGGATGGATGTAGAAATATAGCTGGTGTAGGACAAACTAAGTACGAAGAAGTTAAGACGTTTCGGTCCATTAAGTCATATACGTCTTAGCTTAACACAACGACTGGACCTCGTCAGTGTGACCGTTCAGCAGAAGCCGTTGCTCATTCTGTGTATTTTTTCCTCATTACTGGCGACTCTTAATTTCCATCATTGTTCGTCCCTTTCATTTCTGAATGATGCAGCACAGCTCTGTAGTGTGCAACACGGGAACAAAGTATAAGTGTCATAGCATAGGCATTTCAAGATAAAACAGGAGGATAAAAATAGCTCAGTTCTGATAATGCGACTGGAGGGAACTGCAGTGACTGTGCCAGTGTGAAGGTGAAATTCGCCGTGCCAATCAGCACATAAAACATGGTGTTTGAGGTGAAAAAGATTGAAAGCGAGGGTGCATAAGAAGCGGGCGCTGTTTTATCAAATGATTCGCTTTCTCAGACGAAAATTATGGTGCTCTGAGCAGACAGGCACACAAAATTTTTATCCGTTCTCTTGGTTTTGAGTCCCAAATATTGCTGTATTCCGAGTCAGCTGCTATCAGCCAAGACTTTAATAGATTACTGATAGGTGCGTTGTTTAGGTTGTGTTGTGGATGAATACAATTGGGCCGTATAGCAATCGACAAGAAACTTATACGTATTTCTCCTTACCGTTTTGCCGAGGGCCAAAGCTGTCGATCGGCCATTATCACGAAACGCTGGGCGAAGCACTGTTGGGCGTCGAGCTCGATTACTCCGGCATAGCTATTCAATTCCGAGGTGTCCATGCACTTGTTCCATCTTCGTTCATCTGATAATTGCAAGCCCGAGATAGACATGTGGATGTTGTGCTTTAGAAAATGTGGAGAAGACAGAAGTTTGTAAAAAGACTCTCAGCGAAGAAGAGTACAAGCAGTTCGTTTATGCGGTGCAGAATAATTACTGGTATCAGATGTATCTCGATGAATTGCCCATGTACGGTAAGCAGCTGCTGGCTTTCAAACTGCTGAAAGCATTTTCCCTTGTAATGAATTTATTTTGTTCTTGTTTCTCCGGACGAACTCAGACGGTGGCGACCGCTGAGGGGACAGAGTCCTGGCTCCAGCGGAACAGCGCCGTGTTTTGCTCTCCAGGGCAAAGCCTTTTTCAATTCTGGCACAAGCAGCTGAGTCGTAATTTCAGCAGCATGAGAGATATGGCCGGAGTTAATTGGGCAGTTCTGACAGATTCGAGTTGTTGCTTCTTTCATTACATACTAAACTTTTTAATGCGCATTTTCGAAACTTTGTAGGTATGGTTGGTGAAGTTGACTCTTCAACAGAACCACCGACGTATAAGCTTTTTACACATAAGAAATTGGAGATTGGTTTCAATGGCAGGCAGGTAAATGGTCGTTTTGGTTTTGGTGAATTTTTGGCGCTGGCATTTGGTTGAAGTATCTATTAGGAGAAATTCTAGATTATCAGTTGGCCGAGATTTATTTGAATTTGTCTTCGAGTTTATGGAATAATTGATTCTGGGTGCAGGTTTTTAATTTTTTCCAACAACAGATAGTGGATGTTAATGTGACGTCAGATGTTCGCGTCGCTCTGACGCCTGGAGCAACAATATTGTTCACATACGAGGTTGTATGGAAAGCTTCTTCTGTTGAATTTGATCGGCGATTTGAGAAATATTTGGATCCAACCTTCTTCCAGCACAGAGTAAGGATATTTACCGCCCTGTGTTTTGTTCAGTGGAGCAGATTCCAATGGAGCAAATTTACAGATACATTGGTTCTCAATTTTCAATTCGTTCATGATGGTAATCTTTTTGGTCGGATTGGTTTGGATGATACTTATGCGCACACTGAGAAAAGATTACGCCCGCTATCAGAAAGACGAAGACCTCGATGACATGGTAATCCTACACCAAGTGTGGTGAAATTTTCTTCTTTTCCCTTTGGAAGCTTATCTCTTCTATGTAGAAAAAGATACGAAAAAACAGTAACTTCTCACCACAAAATACAAGAGGATCGAACTTCTCAATCTCGCCGGATTTCCATTTAACAGTCTTTATCGAAGCAAATACAACCACAGTTTTCTTCACACAATTCCAATCAACAGCTTGAATTAATCCAGCTCAGCCTTCGAAACTCCACAATTACAACTGGCCCAACTGACTAACTCGAAACTCACAGCAACAAACTGATTTGATTGACCAAAACAGACCCCACAGCAGCAAACTCAACAACTGACCAAACAGAACTGACAAAAAAAAGGAGGGGAGCGAGGTCTTTTATATTGAGAAATTTGTCCCCACCTCTAACTCGAATAATGGCGTAGTTGACGGGAGGTCAACCCACAGCCATTTTCGAATAACAGCTAAGTGAGGGAGTTTACAACCCCGGCACTGCAAAATTACAATCATAAAAAATGGCCAACGCACGGGCTGCCCGTGCGAAGATGCGTTTTTTGCAGAGTTCCCTGCAAGTTTTTGTCGCTACCGGCATCGGTTTTTCGGCAGATGCTTCTAGCTGAAAGAATTTCAGACCGGCCGCCAGAAC